GACAGTCACCAGACGCTCACTACTACCCTGAGCATGTGTCCAGAATGACCTCTCTGAATGGCTCTTCATCTGCTGCCTAAACCAGGACAAATTTGCCATTGGAGATACTACCATGGTCAGATCGGCCCCAACAACATAGCTCCTAGGGCCTACAACCCCCCTCCACCACGATAAGGTGGTGATTCACACAGAGGAAATGAATCAAAATGCCTCCTAAGTGAGGTGTTTTTGGCATGTCCTACTGAGTGTAGCCAGGACATGCTGAAGATATTATCCAGTGGATGGATGGATTTTGCATATGGTATTTAGGGTCGGTTCACTGAAAATAGCAACAAAAATCACTTTGTGATTGCAAAATTTAAAGATTCAGAAATGTTATCTGTCACAAGCTAATTGAATATGTTCAGTGAAGCGCAGGGTGATGTGCTATTGGGAGCTAGTGTGCAACAAATAATTTTAATTGGAATAAAAAGGATGTAAGTTAAAGCAAAGGAAAAGAAGTATGAAGGATAAAAGAAGGACACTCAGAGTGTGCAGATTTCACTCTCTTTGAATGTCAACAGATAAAAATCTGAAATGTACACAGGTACTAATATACTCATGTACTAAGTGTTTCACTTCCTTTAGATAATTTATAGAAAAGCAATACCTGGACCTTTTCTATAAGGAACCAAATTAACAAATGAATTCATATTTGAGGCATTTTACAGTAGGTATTGACATTCCCCATACATGTACCTTATTTAGAAAAAAGTCATACAGTGTTTTTCCTTCACAGAAACATTCGTCTTTGTTTTTTGCAAGTACAGGAAGGTCAGGAGCTGATGGAGTTCAAACCAGAGTTTGAGCCAATTGTGACGAAGGAGCTGGCCAAACTTCATGAGCTGTGGGACAAATTGGAGTCCACCACTCAGGAGAAGGCACGGCTGCTATTCGATGCCAACCGCTCTGAGCTTTTCGACCAGAGCCTGGCTGACATGAAGAAGTGGCTGGGTGAGCTACAACAGCAGTTACAGAGTGGAGAGGAGGATGTTAAAGACTTGACTAAAGCCAACATCCTGCTCAAAAACCACCAGGTTTGTCTCTTAATGCACCATGCTCTGCACACTTTAGATTTGTATGCTGCCTTTTCTTTGCAGTTCCTCTTCATACGAGCACCCCACTAAACAGAATTAAATCACTGGGAATGAAGGCTTTATAGCTTTAGGATTTATTTTGTGTGATCATCTTTGTGTTTACTATTTGCATCTAAACACAACAAACTCCAAAAAGCTTTGCATTTGTCTGAAAGAAAAACTGGAACGTTAAATACTAAATTGTAAACATAAGCGCGATCTGTACTATGAATTTATATTAGAAAATTTACATGAATTAAAAACTGTGTCTGAGCTCAGTTTCATACATAAATGGCATGACTAACTTTTACCGTCTGCTACATCCTGATTAGTAGCTTGAAAGGTTATTCATCTTCATGGTTTTTTCCTATGCCAGATGATGGAGAACCAGGTCCGTGACCGAGCTCGGGAGCTGGAGGAACTCCAGGAGGCTGTCAGGAAGCATGGCGGAGGCAGGGAGGACCAGCCGGAACTGGAGGCTGAGCAGCAGGCGCTGCAGAGAGACTTCCAGCAGCTCCTCACCCCACTGGCCCAGCGCAAGGGCAAGGTTGAAGCCGCCAAAGCTGTCCATCAGTTCTACAGAGACTTGGCTGATGAGCTCGTAAGCATGGATCCATTTTCACAGCAAAGTGTTCAAAGTCACTACTCTGACAAAATGACCGATTGCAGAAGTTGAGAATAAAAGCCGTTAAGTGCTAGAGTTACATTTGTGTTTGCTTTTGAATACCACAAAGCTGAGACCTTATCATAACGTAAACTTTAAGGTTTATTTCTTCGCTAAAATTTGCAAACCTAAAGTATGAACTAGCAAAACTACTAGCTCTCACTGTGAAACTTCCTCTCAAGGTGAATTTGGGTAAAGAACAGTTTAATCCCTCATGGGTTGCACTGCCTTAATCCACTCTAGTCAGCTGAAGAGAGCTTAAAAAAGGATTTTGACTGTTTAAGACATTTGGTCAAGGGTTAAACATTCAATACAAGTCACTTGGTCATGGATGTTTTTTAAACAAATACATCATAGATTTATAAATCTCTTCACCAATTTCAGCTGTGTTCTGTCCTCTTCATCATAACCTACTTTTCCTTTATTTTTCTCTCTCTCCCAGCTCTGGATTGAGGAGAGGTTGCCCCTGGCAATGTCACAAGAACATGGCCACAATCTTCAAACTGTGCAAATGCTGTTGAAGAAGAACCAGGTAGAGATTTATAGCTGCATAATAACTTGTGGTTAGCTAAAAATTGGAACACTGATTAATTTCATTGATTAATTTACTTTCTTATTTAGTCTATAAATCACAGCTTCCATAACATGTCAGAAAATAGGGAAAATGCCCCTGATTGTTTCCTAGAAACCAAAGCGAGATGGGTCATGTTATACTACCAGTGGTTAAAGATAAAAGAAAATCAACAAGTACTCTTAGCAACTTGAAAAATTATCTCAATAGTTGCAATCATTTCCATAGATCTTGGCATAATTAAGTAAGTAATTATGTATGTATGTAAGTATGTTTCAGCTCCATCTGCTTTGTTTTTACAGTATACTTGGTGTATAATATGTAATAAATTAATTTTCAGCTGAATATATCTGAATATATGTTTGTCGGCTGCACAATATATCAAGTCTTTGTTTCTGTATATCAAAAAGCCTTGTTGAGGTCCACAATCTTTTTGTCCCTTAGACTTTGCAGAAGGAGATCGAAGGCCACCAGCCCCGTGTAGATGAAGTACTAGAGCGAGGAAGGAGAATGGCCATCGCCGCTGGTGCAGAGGGCAAACCAGAGGCAGAACGAATCACGGACCAGCTGAAGGAGCTAGAGGAGGCATGGGCCCGGCTGCAGGATGAGATGGTGAAGCGCCGAGAGCGGCTGAATGGCTCCAACTTGGCGCAGCAGTACTACAATGACGCTGATGAGGCTGAAGCCTGGATAGGGGAGCAGGAGCTCTACATGATCGCTGATGAGAAAGCCAAGGTGAGGCTAAGAGGAAGACCACAGATATATACAAATTTGATCTAATGATCTAAATTAAAACAAGCCATATTATGCTAAAAAAAACAAGCAGTTCTGCATCCATTAACATAATTACATGGTTTGAGTTTCCTTTAATTAAGGTGGCACACTTTTTATAAGTGGCAGCCTGCACTGAGAGTTCATCTGGAGTACTATAACATACTCTTCTTTTCCTTCTCTCTCTAGGATGAACAAAGCGCCATGCTGATGCTGAAACGCCAGATGATCCTTAAGCAGGCGGTAGATGATTATGCTGACTCCATTCAGAAGCTGGCTGACCGTGCCCAAAAGATGTTTGGAGAGGAGCACCCTGATGGGTTTGTACACGCTGAAGAAAATCATTTGAACTCTTAGTCAGGATGCTAATTCACTCATGTTGTCCCAGTCAGTTGTGGTTTAGTGTGATAAGACTGACAACCATGCAAAATTGGTATTTTAATCATATGCCTCATCTAGAGTAAACCTAAATTCAATCTCTGTGAGCTATTTTTTTTTCTAATTTCCCTAGATCTCATTTTCTTCTGCTCTCTCCCTTTACCTTTTCTGCAGTGAAGAGATCATCAGGCGACAGAGCCAGGTAGATAAGCAGTATGCGGGCCTGAAGGAGTTGGCAGCGGACCGCAGGAAGAAACTGGACCTCACATTCAATCACTTCCTACTGAGCCGAGAGGTGGAGGACCTGGAGCAGTGGATCTCAGAGAGGGACGTGGTGGCATCCTCCCAGGAGATGGGCCAGGACCTGGATCACGTCACGGTATTTTATATACAAACAATTATAGCACATAGAGGGAGAGAAACTGGGAGACAGGCTGGCCACAAAATGGGAAAGATTTTCGTCCAAGTGACACAGATGGACCTTTTTACACTCACTGGGATAGATTAGTGCAGCGCACTTCCATGTGGTCTTCCCCAATTATTCTGCTTAAGTGCTAACCTTTTTTTTTAACCTATTTCAGTCCAAACATAAGGACGTGCTCACAGCGATTTAAAACATCTTTCACTTGCCTTGTGTGAAAGGGTTTGAGAATTACTATTTAAATCTGAAGATCAAGTTAAAGATTGAATTTATTAAGCTGTGCAATATATTTGATCATACTGGGGGGTTTTTTTTTTGCCACAGCTTCAAAGTTTTTGTTCATTCTTACTTCTTACTGACTTCATTTTCAGTGATTTTAGGTGAAGTGAAGTCAGTCAATCACTTAATCACATATAAATTCTGTGTTGTTTTGGATTTTTTTAAAACAAAACAATCTTTTTCCTTCAGCTTCTGAGGGATAAATTCAGAGACTTTGCGCGAGAGACGGGAATGCTGGGTCAGGAGCGAGTGGACATGGTCAACCAGACGATAGACGAGCTGATCGAAGGCGGGCACAGTGAGGCGGCAACCTTGGCGGAGTGGAAGGACGGCATCAATGAGAGCTGGGCTGATCTGCTGGAGCTCATCGACACTCGCGCCCAGCTCCTGACAGCATCTTATGAACTGCTCAAGTAAGAAAAACAGTATTGACAAACCGCTCCACAGGCTGAAAGATGTCCAGTAATCTGAATGGACATAAACAGAAGCTTTTGTGTCTAATCCTGTAATGTCACATGCCCAAATAAGTGAATACAGATTGATTTAGGCTGTATTAAACTGTGGCATGACTAAAGGCATCAAAACAGAAAACATATGCATGCGATAACAGCGTCACAAAGAATTAAACCTAACGTGATGACTACATCTGATATTTAAGTAGGATGATAAACACAGAGCTGAAGAGACAGACATCCATCTGTTTTCTTTAAGGTACTTTGATGATGGAAAGGAGTTGGTGGCTCAGATCCACGACAAGCAGAAAGAGCTGCCTGAAGATGTGGGTGAGGACTTCAGCAAAGCAGAGTCTTTCCACAGAATGCACGCCGCGTTTGAGAGAGACATCACCACTCTAGGCAAACAGGTAATACACACAAAGGGATCAGGCCTTTTACTCAGTGGGAATGCACTAGGCAGTGGCCAGAAGGTAACTTTAATGATTCATATCTAGAGGGGGGAAGAGAGTGCTGTGATGTTTGGGTAACTGCGAGGAGTTTTCTCAAAAGGTGAGAATCAATAAAAAAGCTGTGCGAATAGTAATTCTTAAATTTGCCATCCCTGCCCACAACTTATTGCAAAGAAGGAGACTATAACAATTAAAGGTCTAGGAATAAAAGTATTTATGCGCGTTAGACCGATCTATGTAACGTGAAACACCTTTCACGATCTATGTAACGTGAAAGGTGTTGCAGAACTACGGCCTCATTCAGCAGTATCCCTTTGACGCCATTGAAATCTTTTGCACCTTTGCATAATTTTGGTTTGAAGACAACTAAGGGGCTCCCAGCATTTTAAGATACTTTAGAGGGAGAGATTGGAGGGAAATGTGAAAAGCTTAAAATTCATAAACATCATTCATGTAATGTCCTTAAAGTGACGTGCTGTGATTTTAAAAGGTTTCATGCTGGCTGCAGGACATCAGCAACTGCTCTTTTATAAACAAGACAGTGAGGAGAAAAAAGAAACATTATTTTATTTTCTAAGGAAAGCCTTTCTGTTTTAGTTTGGCCTCTATTTGGTTCAGTAGCACTAAGTTTGGAAATAGTATTCAAAGTTACAAAGACTGGTAAATACAGTGGAAGATTTGGTTTAAAGAGGTCTGTACTCTCTCTCTGCCCCCGGGAGTTGGTGGACGATAAAAACAGAGCTAAAAGCAGTGGATATTTTGCCTGCATTCTCCAGATTTCTAAACACAACTTCAAATGAATGCAAATGCTGCTGCGCGTCTGTTAGATGTGTAAATAGGCAACTGTTTGCTAACCCGTTAACACCACACTGTAGCAACTAATGTCACGGCCTCTCAAAATTCAATAATAACTACTTATAATACTGACCACGTTAAAAGTCACAGCATTACCCTCAACATACTGTGCAAATATTCATATATAAAAAAAATCTTATATTTCAGAGAAGTGCAATGCAAAAATAAGTGTTCCCTAGTCACATTTATCTTGTGATCTTATCATTCAACCAATTAAAGATCCCCTTCTAGTTTTACATAAATAAAATAATAATAAATTAATTTAAAATATTTTTTAGAATATTTTTCTCTGACATGATTCTCGTCACATCAGGGAAACCAAAACCCCTAAAGCATCTCCCTTGGCCAGACGGTCCTCCATATTTGATCACCCGTCATTCTTCAATTGACATCCATGTTTTGACTTGTACTTGTCCCTCTCCTTCACTCCAGGTTCAGCAGTTCCAGGAAACAGCTTCAAGACTTCACGCCCAGTACGCAGGGGAAAAGGCAGATGATATTCAGACTACAGAGAGGGAGGTGGTGGAAGCCTGGAAGGGCCTGCTGGATGCCAGCGACGGACGCAGGGCGGAGCTGGTGGACACAGCAGAGAAGTTCCGCTTCTTTACCATGGTGCGAGACCTGATGGCCTGGATGGAGAGCATCATCCAGCAGATAGAGACTCAGGAGAAGCCCAGGTGATCAAATATGTCAGATGTGTGGCGTTTGGTTTTCTGTTCTGTGTGTTTCATTTTTTCTTTCCTTTGGGGGTCTGGTGTCTGCTCTCTGCCCTGTGGTTTTGGGTTCTGGTTTGCCGTTGCCTTTTTGTTTTTGTTGTTGTTCCTTCTCTATCTGTGGGTGTGGTCGCTGTGTTTGGGTTTCGGAGTGGCTATTGGTTCCCGATGTGGGAGTTGGGGTTTCGACTTTGTTTCTCCCGGTCTGTAGTCTTGTCGTTTTGCTATTCCGCTGTTTTGTGTGCTGCCTCCTCTGATTTATTAATCATCTTTTTTTTCTGTATCTTCTGTAATGATTACTCCTTTGGTAGTTATTGAAGAAAATAAAGTATACAAGAGATAAAATCTGATTGTGGTAGCTGAAGACCAAAAACTGTGCCAATATTTGTTTTTAGGAGGTGGAGGGAAAGAAGTGGAGCTTTTTTTCTGGGGTTTATCTCTGCACATGTATTTCCTTTTTAAATAACAGAGTTAAAAGAACAGAACAACTTCAACTAAGTAATAACATATCTATTTAGTTAATGATTATGAAGTATGTCTTTCACTTAATATATTTGTAAAACAATTTCTGCTACTATTTACATTTACATTTGCATTTGCATTTTACATTTACTTTGTTTACTCATTTGCTCCAAATGGATTTGTTTGTGTTGCACATTAATTCGCTTCTGGATGAATCATCTTAATGAGGAATATTCAGATATGCGGCAAGATATATTTTATTGTCTGATTTTAGAAGAAAAGCTTTAATTTTTCATAAATGGCACTTTGTTCACAAGAGATAATAGCTCTGTCCTATTTATGTGACACAATTCATCTTCCTAAAGATATTCAGCATAATATTCTAGAATCGAGAACACTGGAAGTCTGCCAGAGCCGACTGCAACAATGCAGTTCCAGTTGTTACCAACAGAGGTAGGTAAACTTCATGCATTACCTGTTATCACTTAATATCCATCATTTCTCTGCTTCAGGGACGTCTCATCCGTTGAGCTCCTGCAGAAGTACCACCAGGGGATCCGCTCGGAGATTGAAGCCAGGGGAGCCAAATTCACTGACTGCGTCGACCTCGGCAAAGCCCTGCTGACACGCAAGCACCGAGACTCTGCTGAGGTGAGCCTTCAACAGCAAAGACAGCTCCTTTTCATCCTCAGCTGGGCTTCAAATTGCTGCTTTCATTAGATTTAATTACTTTTCTGGGAGTGATTGTTCTTGTCTGGCTCAATGGAACCAATTGGCTTGCCGTGAAATAAAAAATTCCACTCATCTTACATTCATCAGGGAGACTATAGAGCAAACACTAATTAGAAATGGAAAAGCTAAAAGAATTTAAATGAGCAATTGACCCCGGCCTGAATTTAATATTTGGTTAATTACTCCACAATACTAATTCTTAGAGGATAATGGGCAGTCTTGGGGCTGAGTTGTTTAATAATACTGATATGTAACTGAGACCATACTACTTGTGTCAGATCAAAGAGAAACTGGTGCAGCTGATGGAAAAAAGAAAGGAGATGATGTTCAAGTGGGATGACAGATGGGACTGGCTCCGGCTCTGTGAGTAATATTACACTTATCTTATACTTCAACCCAGAAAATATACCCTAACCCTTTACATACATTATCTCTTAGAAAAAACTAAAAATCTTTACTTATATCCCAAAGGCCATATGGTTAAAATATGTGAAAGCTCATGCATATAAATCCCTGTTCAGAAAGTAGCTCCCAGGCGTTTGTTCATCAGAAGCCTCCATTAACAACAAGGATACAAAAATAGTTGCTTACTTCCAACAATGCCCCAATTTGTCACATAATGCACCCCCCAGTCATAACATTCGCCTTACAAGTGAGGGATCGCCGCATAATATGAACACATCTAAAAGAAAGACTTTTATATCTTAAACTTCTCATGATGACGTGGCTTCATTGCGTCTAGTGCTGGAGGTCTGTCAGTTTGCGCGAGACGCTTCTGTGGCGGAGGCGTGGCTGATCGCTCAAGAGCCCTACGTGACCAGCAAAGACCTGGGTCAAAACGTGGACGAGGTTGAGAAGCTCCTCAAGAGGCACGAGGCCTTCGAGAAATCCACCGCCACCTGGGAGGAACGCTTTTCCGCACTGGAACGCCTCACTACGGTATGCAAAAATCTTACCCGTGGTTTGCAGTAATTTGATTACTTCACATGTTTCATTTACCCTGTAGCTAGCCAGGTTACTGATCCTTGTTCGCCATTGTGTTGCAGTTGGAGTTGTTGGAGCTGCGAAAACAGCAGCAGGAGGTGGAGCAGTTCATTAAAGATGGGCAACGTTCAGATAAAGAAAGCAGGTAAACATACAACACACTGGCTTTCATGTTCGTACTTTATATGCATGAGGGCATAGTATTAATTGGTAGCAGTGTCATCAAAGTGTAAGTCTGATGATAAAGGCAGTGTAGTTTTAAGTCAATCCTTCTGTTGTTAAGCCCCAGAGAGAAATACAAAAAACTGCAGTGAGCATCTGTTAAAGGAAATTAGTCTGTTAAAAATGAAAGTATTTATATTAATACCCTAAATTGTGCAGAGCAAAAAAAGTATTAGCAGCCAAATGCAATGTTTTGCAAACTTTTAATGAGTCGCATTTGATCTCTCTTTCTTCCACATACACACTTCCACACCTGCTGTTCTTAAAAGTCCTCTCATGCTGCCCTGTTTCCTTTAGGAGAGAAGACACGGGCTTTGTGGAAGAATCTTCACAGTTCTATACTGCTGAGGAACAGACTCTGGTTAGTACCGCACTCAATCAGCACAAGCTTTCTGTATTTATAATGTTGTCAACTCTGTTTCAGCATACTGACTCAATGAATGAATTAGCTCTCATCTCTTCTCTAAGGAGACAAGTTCACTTTCTCATGAACTCATTTATTTATTTTTGCTTTAGTCTGGTGAAGCGGAGCCTAGTTCGGGTCTGCAGGAGGGGACGGCCGGTGACTCGACGGTGCCCATAGAGTCAGAAATGAGAGAGAGTGCCTCCCTGGAGCTGGAGCCCTCTGTCTCGGTGGTGACCCCAAAGGAACCAGAGAAAGCAGCCACCATGCCCTCGGACCCCCTCAGAGGCCAGCCTGTGCTGCAGGAGGGCATGTTGAGCCGCAAACATGATGTAGAGGGCTCAGGAAAAAAGGCTTCAAATAGGTAGATAACAAATGGACCACAGCACTGTGTTTGCCTCTAATATGGTCTTTACATCATGCCTTTGACTATTCCAGACATTGTTTCCTTTCTTTATGTTGGGAAAATCTATGAGCCTATTATTACTTGCTTATGTTTGTTCATCCGTCACGGTGAACATCGAGACTTTTCCTTATTTTACTGACCGCACAGTGCTTTTGAAATCACACCACACCTAAAAAGCGTTACAAAAACTGACCATTCAGCACAATTTGTGTTCATTGTGATGGATTAAAACCAACTCGAGTAAGTTTGAAACTTGTTAAAACAGCAAAGGGAGATCTATACTTTAACTCAAAGTATGGATCAGTTCTGCTTTAAATCAATTTTTCAATAAACAAGCTGCCAAAAGTAGCCCTACAATAAAAGTGCTTTTTGTCAGGGATCTTGCAGGACTTCATTATAAGAAAATATTATTACTCCTATTTAAAGATAGAACAACCCACTGTTTTGCAATAAGTGCTTATTTAAAATGAATGTTCACAAAATAAAGTCTCGATGGATTGGTGAGGTAGCTGCTCTTTAATGGGGATTAAATGTAATTTATTTCGTGTTCTTGCCAGAAATTAACCTGAAATGATGTTAAAGTCCTTCTTTTTCCTGCTCCTGCCTCTTCTTCGCTGTCAGGTCATGGAACAACTTGTACTGTGTGCTAAAGCCCGGTCAGCTCTCAGTCTATAAGGATGCCAAAAGCTTTGGCCACGGAACGACGTATCATGGCGAGGATCCCCTGCCCCTCACCAACGCCAACTGGGAGATCCTCACCAACTACAAGAAAAAGAAGCACGTCGCCAAACTACGGTAAGAATTACATCATAGGTTTA